TGCATTGTGGTAAACTGTGGTCAATGACATGAGACAAAGTATATGTGAACTGCTGTATGGAAAGTGAATTTGCTCTGTAAATCTTCACCCAAATAAAAATAAATAAATAAATAAATAAATAAGAAAGTCAGAAAGGAATATGGAAAATACAAGTTAGGTAAAAAGAGCAAGGATTATATAGACCAGGGTAACTGATACCTCTAATGATGGGTGGCACAGGGTACCCATCTATGAAAAATCTCTAATCCTGTATGTGTTTTATAGTACTGGGTGAATGGCTCAGTTTGTTGTATTAGTTTGTGTTATATTTGACGTCTATGAAGAAGTGTGCATAGCTGTTCACGGGCTGCAGCCATTCCAAATGCACACCAATCTGCTTAGAGGCAGAGGGCCTTTGGGCTCAGGCTGTCAGTTGCCTGAAGTTCTAACAGAACCTATAACTTGGATGTGACTATTACAACTTAATTTGGAGGTATTAACTGAAGGAATCACTTCAGTAATCCTCATAGTGGCATTTCAGCTGAGGCTACTGAAAGACAGCAGTTTAAAATGAGTCTGTGAAAATGAAGTACAGTAGTTTTGCACATGGTTGTGGACATGAACTAGCTGGGGCTGACTGGAACTGATCAGGAAACTGTTATCTGAGGTGATTATATAGTGACTAAAGGAACCACAGAGTGCTGATGATAAGCGATGCCTTGGGCCCTCTCAAGGTCTAGTCCAAAGGATGATGTTGGAAAGGTGGTATGGAAAGAGGACAAGTCAGTGACTGAGTGGTCAGTGACTGAGTGTGCCACTGGCTAAGAAAACTATGAGTTTACAAAACAAAGTTCAGGAAATTAAGTTCAAATGAGTCTAATATAATTATTACAAAATGAATGTATCTCATATTTACTCATAAGTATGGTATATTAATTTGTTATTACTAGTTAAAATAGGAATAATTTTACAACTGGTAAGGATTCTGTCTCAAACTCATTTTTTTTATAGCTTATATTCCAAAGGGACCTAGATGTTTAGTCACTACTGTCAAAATCCTATCAAGAGTGAGCGCTTGGCAATACTGAGACCAATGTCATATGCAGAAGTTTTGAAAAGACATGACTCAACCTCAAAAATCATGCACAGTGCCCTTAAGAAATGGTTCTGTATCCTCTCACACAATCCTAGTTCTGTCTGCCTTATACCGTAAGACCCTGGGATGTTTTGCTTTCTGTTTAAAATTTCTACACATCTTTAAAAATGTGGGAGAGACCTCTGTGAAGATATTGGCTAATGTGATATGTTTCTTCTTGCCAAAACTGGGAGCCCAGTACCCAGCTTTAAGGCTGATCACTTCTGTAATCAGCACCACACAAAGCCACTGAGGCAAGAATGGTTTCCCTCCCTATTTTGATAGCATGAAGACATTCACTTTTCTCCTAGTTAAGCCAAGGTAATTACTAAACTAGAGAAGATAAGTGTCCACTATACAGAGCCAGTCAATCCTCTTGGGAACAGGCATCTGTCAACTAAGGCTGAGAATCTGTTTTCTAAATCTCTTTAAATCTTAAAATTTTCTTCAATTTTACTTTAATTTCTAAAAACTCTAACTTTGCTCATCACTGCCCCTCCCCAAACTGGAAGACAGCATTAGTGGTGAGGGGAGAGGAGGTGATCCTCCCACCTGGGGTTTCCCCCTGAACTACTGGCTCCCATTTTATCCAGGATGATCAAGAAGTAGGCTCCCAGCTCATGTCCCTTCATCAGAGAGGCCTTCTCCACCACTCTATATTAATAAGGCTCTGTCCTCAACCTGCTTGTTCCCCATATCCTGCTTCCCCACCCCACCCCACAGCATTTAATTATTTAGTATCTGCAATGGAACCGATTGCTGTGTCAGCCATCTTGGAGCAATGTTATAAAAAGTGATGCAAAGAGAAAGGCAGGCAAGTTTAGGATGTGAGGATTCAAAGCACCACAACAGAGCAAAGTCATCTCAGCAGCAATATGTGCAATTGTGATACTAGATCCCACCAGTAACTGATCAAAGAGTTACAGAGGAAAACAATAATGTAGATTAGTGGTCTTTAAACTATGTACATTGGAGTCCCACAGAACAGACTGCTTGAAGGTAAAAGAGGCTTCAGATCTCTTTTGAGGCTGACTGGGAGCCGTATGGGCTGGGACTAGCTTGCCCCTGCTTCAACCAGAGCAGCCGTGTTTTCATCTGTTTTATATATTGGAACTCCAAGTAAGATTGCATTTGAGGAAAAGCCTGTGCTGCTTAAGAAAGCTTTAAAAA